TTACCATTGGCACTAGATTTACCCAATATGACTTACTACAAATCTCTCTCTCTGATATCAATGTAATATGAATGAACAAATAGCAAGTTGGGCAAAGAGTATTCCCTGTCTAAAAAGGATGTGGTCTCCCACCAAGAACTGTTCCACTAAGGTACCCTTGGTCTTGTGGAAGTTACACCCCATGGGATTTTAATTTCTGTCACTATTTCAGAAAGGAACTCATCTTTGTAATTTATCAACATCATTTTCAATATGAGATTTTAGCTCTTAGTGGTGCAGAGAAGTAAGTAGCATTTCCGAAGTTAACGTTTTCCTTACCTGAAAATACTTACCTTTCTGCCCCCCCCCCAAACCTCCAGTGCATTGTCTTTGCCTCATCAAGAATGAGCCTATGATCATGGGGATTACTTTTCATGGAGGTCATGTCACCCTCCTATTGGTGGAGGGCTACCGCATTGTAACAATTATGTCATAGACTAATGCAATATTCATAGACACACGTGCACAAGATAGTAACTCTTAGTGGTGCATAGAGGTAAATAACTATCTGAAATGCATTTTCAGGTAAGGAAAATTTTAACGTTATGACATGAATTTTCTATTATATAAACCTATAATCATCAGTTTATTTTGATACGTAAAAGAAATGTTTAGATATAAATAACAAAACATTTAAACTGAATTTTGTTCAGGTAAACCACAAAGTTTATTTTCCAGTTACAGGGTTTTTTGAAACTTTTAAATTAATTGAAATTGTGGATCTGTTAAAACTAATATAAAGTTGATTTTTGTATGAATAAGTTATATAAATATAAGTTGTTACTTCTTTTTTTTTTGTTAATACAAATGTTCTATATATGAAAAGCTATTCCAGTTTATTTATTGGGGTAAGTAGTGTGGAATTTGTATTGACAATTTAAGACTTTTTCTAATAAAAGATTGATTTTTGTACATCTTTCATTAATAAAATGCATAAAATGTTTCGTCACAAGCCACACTAAAATGCTTCATTAAACAAAAACTTCAAACTTCACATTTTTATTTTGTTATTATTGTTACAGGCAGCAGTTTTTAGGGCTTAAGGCTCAAGCTATGAAATCACAACTTGCTAATGTAAAGCCAGTTTCTGGAGTAAGTAGAAACTGTTCTTTAGTATAGGTTTTGTGAAAGATTTTGTAAGGTAGAAATGAAATATTTAAATTTCCTAAAAGGTGATTCTGCATGTTCAATCAATAAAAATTTATTAAATGTAAAATTTTAAAAATCTATTGGTATCATATTATTTGCTTGTGTAAATAAAATGTATATGTATATTTTTATAAATTGTATTAAAATAGGAAATATCTGTGCAGTATTATAACATGTACATGTGTGTGTGTATTTATATATATGTCTGTGTGTTTCTGTATTAATACTCCCTAGTATTTCATATTTTCATGTGTATGTGACCTAATTGTTTTATAACTTGCTTTTGTAGGTTTGTAAATAAGCATTTTCAATTTTCTAATTTTTGAATTTGACAAACCCTTATTTGATAAATTGTGTTTTTGGATAATTAGGTTAATTTTTTTTAAAGTTTCTTTAGCAATTGCTTGGAAGTTAACCTTTTAAGCCCAGGTGGTAGAGTGGTTGGTTGGTTTGTGAATGGTACACTGGTTTCATTCCTGAGGCATGGAAAAGTTAATGTATAATACATAAACATTTTCTTAATTTTTTAAGGTTAAGGGAAAAACATAAAGTTAAATTTTCTTCTTGTGTAATAAAATGTACTTTGGTGTAAACGTAAGTGTTCTATTTACTACTATTCAGATTTTTTTTTTTTTAAAGGCTTGTCAGGTGAGCTCATAATGAGAGTGGGTGGTCAGATATGTCAATAATCTATAATTACATCTCTGTACAACATTTCTTTTTTTAATATTGGATGTAGCAAACAATTGTGTATATATATATATATATATATACATACATACATACATTTTTACGTTTTTTCTCTCTCTCTTTGAAAAACAGAAAAAATGGACATATGCCGCGAAGCTTCGTCTTTTAGAAATGTGTATGGACAGACCACTGATGGCTCTTATGACAAATGTATTAGTAAGTTTTGTAAACTTTAGTTGCTACTTTACTCTTGAGTAGTTTGTACAGCTACATACAGAGCATTTATTATTATTATCATTTCATTGTGAAAGTATGTTATGAATTAAACAAATCAGATGTCTTTAGAAATTTTAACTGGTTGTACTTTATGAGATACTATAGTTTGGTTACTTTTCCTTCGGATATGCATTCAAGCTCTATATTGTAAGGCTTACCTGGATAAACTATTAGAGTACAAAAACATGCATTTGGTAGCTTGGAATGTTATATAATTCATTGATATTTTTTTATGCCCAAAAAGTAACCTGAACTGTATATCCAACATAAAGATAATCTGTAAGTGAAGCAAAAATTTGTTAGTTTAACTTTTGTGTAGACCTTAATGATATGTGATCGTATATTTGATATGGAACAGAAAAAATAGAAGTATTTTAACTTCATGTACTTTAAATGTAAATATCAGTATAGCAATTTGTTTTATTTTTGTTATGGCAACTGTAGGGCTTACAAATAATGTAAAAACCTGTGATCAATGTTTGGAGCTAATCTGAGGTTTCATGTAGTTCGGGACAAAAGATGTTTATCATTTATATTTAGGGTTTTATATAAATAATGAAGCTGCTATGTAAAGCTCTGTTAAGCATATTTGTGGTGCAACTGATCAGCAAAAAATAACAGTTATAAGTATGATTAAATGTAGTCCCCCTTTGCATTTGCATGTTTGTTTTATGATTCGATTTAGGAATGGATATAAAGGTAGTAGTCTCCAAAACTCTTACGAAAAGCACCATTTAATAAACTTGAACAAATTTTGGTGGTCTCTGTAGCCTGAAGTATTCTCATATTCTTCTAAAGAAGGTTGTTGTTTGGAGCTACATTCATATTAAATATATCATGAACCTTTAAATAACTTAGAAGGCTTTATGTGAATTCAACTGAAATAAATGCTGATGAAGTGCACGGTTTTTGTTTATAACCTAAATTTCAAAGGCATCAAAAAGTTATGCATTTTTTTCTCATTTAAAAACAAAATAAATGGCATTAAAAGATCAATTGTTTTATTTCATGATAGATGGAGACTTTTAATAAACTGAAAGGTCTTGGAATGACTCACTTCATTTTTATTTATGGATGATATTGAAACACACTTTAAGTGCTGAGTCCAATAATGAATAGACATTTCAAGAAGCATAGAATGTTATGTCTGTTTTTAATGAAGTATAAAAACCTGCAAACTGTGAACACAGTTTATTGTGACACTAACATTTAAAATATTTCTGTTTAATTGAGAAGTCCCTTAGATTTTGCATTTAGGATTAACTTTTTTTCCCCCCTTCTCTTCTATAATTTGAAAAAGTGGAATAAATCCTTCTGAACCTATGCCTATGATATATTGGTTATTAAGTACTTTCAGTTATATTATCTTTTATTTTCAGTTAAGAATTTCAATTGGTTACATTAATGTTTTTCTTTTAATTAAAATTTATTTCATATAATAAAATATTTGGACATTTACAATAGGGTTTAGCTCTGTTTAAACCACTTGTTTTTAGAATCTGCTTGTCTGTATGGACCATTAGTTTTACTAAAGATTACAAGATATGTGTATAAGAAAATGAATTTGAAATACAAAAATGAAGAATATATAATAAATAGTAATGTATAAAGATCAAAAAGGTAGTGTGTTATTAATATTTAATGTATGGAGAATAAATAATTGACAAATAGATCTTTCCTGTAGAACTTTCTTAAGTTGTGTAACTAACATTTACTCAAAATATGTTGAATTTTTGTTGATCTAGGCTTTTTTTAATTCATGTATATATGTAGGTTGTTGAGAAAGCTATGAGAGATTTTATACATGTGTATGAACATTGTTATGCACACACTGTTGTACCTGCTTGAGGTCTTGCTATGGGATCTTGAATACTATTGGTTAAGTTATAGATCATATGTTCTATATAATGAGTTGCTCCAGTGGGTTAATGGTAAGTTTACAGACTTACACTTCTAAATTCAGTGGTTTGAATTCTTGACTTAATTAAACAAAGTGCAGATAACCTATTATGTTGCTTTATGTGAAAAACAAAAAAATGACTACCGAATAATGGATAAAGCATAACTGACATTAGGTAGAAAATTATCACATTTTTTGTATATTATTTAAATTTTTTATTTCAAGATTTAATTTCAACTTCAGCTTAATACTTAATATAGTGTGTTCTAATTCATATTAAAATAAGCCACATTTGTCAGTATTCCTTGTAGTGGAGATTTTTTACAGAAATGTTTATTATTTGAAATCAGCAATAGAAATTTTTGTGAAGAGGTTATTTTCTGTCTTAAAAATATTATATTTAATTAGGCAGATGATCGATTATCAGTCTACTTGTGTGACACATCATATGATGAGGATTTCCATTTAAATGATGCATTGGTAAAAGAAGGGCATGCTGTTTTTGGTAACATTAATGAACCTGACTTACCACCATCTTTGACTCAGCAGTCTTCTTTGGTAAGAATCTGAATTCTTTATTACTGTTCTTTAGACTTTAATTGTTAATTGATGGATCATTTAAAATTTATGACATCCTGTCCTCATACTAGACTTTCTGAGCCTGTATTTTCCTATGCAGAATAAATGTTAACATGAATTTTTTTCTCCCTCTTCTGCATATTTTATATATATATATATATATAAAATGCATTAAAACTAACCTGGGAAACACAAGTACAGGCTAATAAAGCACATGGTATATAGGAGCACTTGTTCTTGTTATATATTAGTACTAGACAATCCATACTAGATCATATCTAATTCTGTGTGGAATGGTGATTCAGTGGTTTATTTCTCAATTCACATGGATGTGTTTTTGCATCATTTCCACATATAGACGTTTGCAACACACTTTGAGTTATTGCAAGCAATATTCAGGTTTTTGAAACATTAGAGCTGCTGTATGAGGTTCCAGACTGTATTTTTATGATGCACGTTTATATTTTAACTGGAAAATCTATTTAAAAGTGCAGAGTTTTGCATATATACAAGGTTTGGTGCTTGATGGTCAGAAAATGTTTTTCATACTTGATTTAACACCTGCACGTTCTTATTTTTTTGCATGCTTATAGTGTAATAGACATTTTTTTTTCTTTCTTTTTTATACCAGACAGTATTGGTTTTATAATAAGTGAAAATTGTCTTATATTACTAGCATTATACTTTTATTTTAAGATTCTTTGCATTGTTAACATAATAAATGATTGGAAGTAATTTAAATCTTCTAAGCTGGCTGAATCTCCTGAAATTATTGGGGTTACGGTCAAAAATATTGTTCACAGCAAGGGTACCCAGCTGATGAAATGATGCATTCTAATATTTATAAGCAAGAATAAATATTGATTTTTAGTTCATATCTGTCTCTCTTCAGAAGTTAATGAATGAGAAAGTCACTAATGTCAGCACTCTCCATTTGGAGTTTCTAACTATAATAAAGAAAAAAAGCTAACTGATGAAATAGTAGACAACATAAATTTATACTTTTATTTCGATATGTGTGATCGTTTTTGTATTTTGAGGAAGTGATGTATATATCCACAGACAACTCTGTTATGGTGTTAGGCTTAAATAATCCATATTTTAAAGAAAATTAATGAATATGTCAGTATTAAAATTAATTCAGCTAACAAAACCCAATTTGTTTTTGAACTATTCAGAAAAGTAAAGTCACTCTTAATTCATTTATTTAAAAACTGAATGTGAGCATAAACAGACAATATATTTATTCATTTTGTTATAAGGAAGAAGTATGTTACACACTATATCAATATTTTACTATATCTTTTGTGTACAAAATGTTTTAATTATTAGAAATTTTAATGCATAACTTCTCATTACAACACTTTTTGGTTAAAATTTACTAAATGTTTTAACTATTAGAATTTTAATACATAACTTCTCGTTACAACACTGTGTGGTTAAACCTAAGCCAGGTTTTTGTGGACTGCTTTTTATTTTTCCTATTTCTTGTGTTCACATATAACAATAAATACATGTTGAAATATTTTCTCAACAGTGACATAAAAGAGAAAACAAAATGTGTTTAAATCATAGTCTTAAGATTTAAGAAGTATATTGATTGTATGTAATGGACTACATTCTAGTGTACAGTGCATACTTTGGACTTGACCAGCCTGCATAATTGTTTAAAGTGTTAGCTACCTTGACTGATGCAAACTTAAATCATTGGTTGCACATCATTCTAATAAATATCCATATCTCAGGTAGGAAGGAAACTGATTCTTTATTGTAATCAAGCATTCTGTTGGCTTTAAACAGAAAGAAGTAATTGCATTAGTTACCTTATTTTGTTCAAACTGAAATCATCAATCAAACGTCATCATATTATTCAGTTTATTACACATCTATACCTAAAATAAAACCCAAAAAAAGAGAGTTTAAATTGCGTATGCTCCTAATTTTTCTATAATTACAGGATTTGCACAAGTGCACTTGCAGTTTGTTTGTGCACCTATCACAGTTTAGCTAGTTTCACATTTTTTTTTGTTAGAAGGTGTTTGTAACATACTATAAAAAGAACTTCTGTTGTTAACTACTCACACCATTATACAGTAGTGTGTTGTCTGTCAGTTAGTCAGTAGACACTAAAATGACATAACATAAGGGATGCTTACAGTTGCAATTTGTACTGTCGTGACATCAGTGAAACGTGTGCATGTCATGAATCACGAGAAGAATTATGCCCTCTGTAGGCTACAACACAGCATGATATATGAACTTCAGAAGCAAGAATTAAAAATATTTGTTACTTTTACTTTTATTTATTTTTGAAACAGAACAATTTCGGGGACCTTGTGCAAATACATCTAGTATTAGACATATTTCTACCAAGTATTGTTTAAGTCAATATATACAAGAAAATACCTTTACTCTTATCTTTTATTGATAGATTTTTTTATGAGTTACTAGATTTTGATGTTAGTTATTGTTTTCAAATTGGAATGTCAGAGGTTATGATACTACTGTGTTAACTACCAGGGGAAGTCACTAAATTGTTCTTGACCTTTTTAATTGAATATAATTTTACATATTGAAGTAAATATACTGTAACACACTGACTTACATGTTTTATTAATAAGTTTTGATGAAAAGTCATGAGATATAAGGTCAAATATATATATATTCCAAATAATATTGCCCAGTAATAAAATTGTGTGAGTATCAGTTGTGTAAATGTATATAAAGGTTTTCATGGATTAGAAGTTATTGGGCCTTGTATTTGAAAGTTAATTAGCAAACCTTATTCCTCAAGTAAGCTTAATACAAGATGATGCATGTGCTACGAGGATGTCGTATAGATTTATGGATATTAAGATATTCAACATGAGGCAGATACTGAGTTATGAAAAAAATTCTGATATTAGTCATTATGGAAAAGCAATACGAGATAAAAAAAAAATCATTGTTTATTGTATGTCATTGTTAACAATATACTAAGATATATGTATGTGTGTGTGTATATTTCACCAAATGGACATAATATGCAACTTAACATTGTGTCTTAACAGCTTGGAAATTTCTCTCAGCTTTTGAGCTCCAACCCATTATCATTACTGGGAGGTTTAAACCAAACATATGCCAATTTGCAACTGATGAACATGTTATCAGGATACAGGCAACCAATGGGTGAAATATCTAAACAGGGCCAGCTTTTGACCCTACAGGGTCTTTCTGGGTCAGGATTAGACCCAACCATTTTATCAAAATTGATGGATGTTTCACCCACCAAACCTTTGTTCTCTCCATTTTGTTCAATGACCATGCCCGTTTCTTCAGAGTTTTCAACTTCTGAGGCATCAACAACAACTACCACCACAACTGCAGCATCTGGGTATGTGAGCTCAACATCACCACAGGGTGAACCAGGTCAACGTCTTCAAGCAGGAGCTAGTGCCTCTGAGGAGAATGAGAGGTACCAGTAGTCTACTTTAATTTATCTAAAATTATCAGCAATATGTAGTGGTTAATGAATATAATCCTAAGATAGATTTAATAAGTAAAGAACCTTTAAGGTTGAAAATGAAGTAGAATAAGTAGAAACTGTGATTGACAACTAAATTCTTGGTTCTTAATGATAGTTTAGTTGTTTTTTTTTGCATACGTACATATAAACCCCCAAATGAAAATTAAGAAAAGTATAATAATTATAGAAACACATTGAACTATGGTTTTACCAATGATGTATAAATACAATATCAGAACAAAATAATAACTTTTTGTGTATTGATTGAAGCAGTAGGACCAATAGGCCTAATGTTCATGATAAAAATTGCACTAAGATGCATATTTTTTTACACACATTCCCATAGTGAATGAAATATCTAAAATGCTATTGTTATGCACCTCTGAATCACCAAAGCTGAACAAACTTGAGGTAAAAAAAGCAACTTATAAGGCTAAAATTGGACAGAGCACAATATTTTATTACTAGGATAGTAGGCATAATAAAAAATTATAATAATCAGAAGCACTAATTTCATTCAGATGATTATTTTTCCTGACAACTGATACCATGACTTTGGAATCATTAATTGTTTGAAAAATTGAAAACACTAATTTCAATTAAATGGTTATTTTCCTGACAGTCAATTTAATTGAAATTTTGGTTAGCCCAATGTGCACGGAATTGATCCAATGAACTGATCCCATATTGAAGAATTAATGTTTACTATAATTCCAAATTTACTTTATGTATCTTCCTGAAGTTTGGTATGCTTTTAGTAAACTTCCAAGTGTGTTGTACACAAAAAAAATCAGAATCTTTAATTACATTTTCACTAAAGGTTTGTCTTTGAATTTACTGAGTCAGTCTGACTCAAACTTTGACTAGTTTGAGTATAAGGTGATTTTCATATTCAGAATATAAATATATTTTTACTCTTACAATTTTCATATTTTACTTGCATAATCTCTAGAACATGCTAAATGAATATAACATTAACTATAGGAAAGTTATCTGTAGAAAAAGTTGAAAAATATGAAATAAAATTTCAAAATAACTTTTTTTAACTGGGGTGATTACAGATTGTAACAGACAATTACAATTATTCATCTTAAAAACTGGACTTCTTAACTTTTCATAACTACTTTAATTAAATCTTGTTATTTTATTGCTCTTTGAATCAATGCTAACTACTACAAAAAGCAATAACTGACATTACAAGAACGTGGAAAGTTTAGGGTAAATGTTGTTTCAGATTACATCATGCAACATTCCAACTATGTTCCTTGTATGTTACTTAAGGCAAAAAACTTGAATTATCTTTCTTTAAGTGTGTTTATGTAACCTATTTGTACTCCAGAACCTGCTTTGCTAAGACTTCTCTTTGATCACAACATTGTTTGTCCAAAAGGTAATTCATGTAGGTTTTAAATTTGAATTTTAAAACACAAACAATAATTCCAGCAGTAAAATACTAATATACTACTATAATTTATCTGGCTTTCTAACTAACCTATAAATGGGTTAAAAAAATGTTCCTTATTTCTGAACCACCAACTTTGGTCTACACTCAATAAAACCTGCTTGGGAAATGGCACATTTTACTAAAATAAATTAGCAAAAAGGTATTATAGTCACGTAGTTCACAAAATGGTTTTTCTATTGTATATAGACATGTACCATTGATAAGTAAGTGCGAGTAAATAAAGAATGAAGAGTTTGGAATAGTTTCTGTGGTAGGTATAACAAATTTATTGATATCTCAGAAAAGAAAGAAAATGAATTCTGACCTGTCAGTATATATATATAGCTGGTTTTTGTAATTGGTGGATATTGTGAAACTTATGTAAGGGAAGAAAGAAAATCTTGAAAGGAGAATTCAGAGCAAAGAGGTGTCACATGATGCAGGGAAGTGAAGATTAAGAGTTTATTTAACTATTTCCTTTTTAAATCAAGATATTAATACCTGTAGCTATTAAAATCTGAATTATAAGCTAGATTAGCCAAGAAATCAGTATATAATGAACCAAATATTAAAGACAGTTGAAGGTGTAAATTGATTGTAGCAAACCTTAATCTTCATTCATTTTAGCTACGTGTATCTTTTTCCAAGAAATACTGTTTTCAGCTTATAAAAGCAAAATAGTATTTTATGAATTATTGAAGTCTTTGTTAATGTACTACTGCATATCTTACTACAATAATTTACTCTTACAGCTTACCTATCAATCTGAAAAATTTATGTTAAGATAAATTTTGACAGTAAGAAAGACAAATAGTTACAGGTTGCAAATATTTATGTATTAAAATATTGTTCTTCATGTGGGTGTTTGTTTGTTTACTTATAATCATATGTCACAAGAAAAAAGGAAATGTATGTATCAGTCAGACATAATTCAGATCTTAATCCAAACTAGATAAATTTAGCAGACTTACTACATTTTAGATTACTTGTTTTAAATGCATAGTCATATGGAATACTCAGACTGTACATCAGAATAGAACTGCATGCTAAGGGGACTATTATGTATGAAGAGTTAAGTCATTTGTGACAGAATATGATGTTCATATATTTAAAATATAGGGCTGTCTTCTGGAAAGCTCGAACAACCTCATTTTATATTGAGGTTAGGATTTTTCCTATTGATGTTTCTAATGTCTATAATGTCAGATAATTATTTCTGTTTATTCAGTGAAACATTTGAAGAAGATGAAGACTTTATCAAAGAAATGGAAGATTTGGAAATTAACGTGAAAGTCCATGCACAAAGGTACTGGAAGATTTTGGGTTTGTTTAAATTTTGTTCAAAAGAAATTACAATAGAAAATTAATTTGGTGAAGCAACATTTAAAAAATATTCATCTTTTGAATTTTTTAGTTCTTAAGTTCTTTCTAAAGTTAACTTTTGTTATTGCAAAAGGCACTACTTTGTAGAAAGGTATTACAAGAAAATAATTTCCAGCTTAAAATTGATAAGTTTATTACACACTGCATGAATTTGTATTCTAAAACATCAGTAGTTGTTTTATGCTACTTGTATTTTGTTCATTTGGTGAGTATTATGCAGAAATTTAACCTGTATCAAAAATGAAACATTTTGTTAGATTAATTTCTTATGTGAAATATAACTTACAAGCATTAAATTTCTCGCTACGGGCTTGGCTGATTTGATCGAGTCTGTGACCCCAAAGTGACTGTCATGGTTCCATACTGTAATTTTAAAAATGTTTTGTATGTATATTCATAAAATTTTGCAAGATTTCAATAAACATTACAAATCTTTCATACACAAAAAATCCGATTTTTTGATTAAAGTAATATTACTAAAAATTTCATCATAAATATATGGAGTCAAAGTGTTGACTGCTCTAAGTGCAAAGTGATTCTTTTGTTAAGGTTAAAAATACTTTTCTTCATTTGAAAATTATCAAATTTTATTTCCATAATCTTTAAAGCCTCCTAAATATAAATCAAGCATTTTTTTGTCAGGAAAACTTTATATTTTATCTGTCATTTTCGCTATTCTAACTCTCTGTGCATTAGGTCAGTTTGACTGACTTTGTAACCACCAGAAAAAAAAATCTTAATTTCCTTTTTTCTTTCTAAAATGACTGCAAATAACAGGAAACTACAGTTGTTTATCCTAAATAGTTTAAAGCTCATAACAATCTACACCTATTTATACTTAATTTTATTGTTTTCTTGACTCTTGAACCATGTATAGCTAATAATCTTGCCATACAAGTTGTAAATCACTCCGTGAAAATGCGGCTTATGTTACCGTTTCAAATTACATAATACAGGAACTTCTCATGAGCATACCTTTTGAAGAATTTTTATTATTGTCATTATTTTTCATTATGTTACCTTATCTAACCTAACAAGTTTCTAATTTTTACACTTTTGTAACTTTTACAGTAAGAAATAAAGAATACACATGAAAAACAAGAAATGTAGTACTTACCTGGGTCTTTTTTTTTTGCTGTCAATTGTTGATGAAGCTTAAGCCTTCTTTTAATACTAATGGTACTACTACACTAGATATTTTTTTATATAATTAAGTAATGCACCATAGAACACAGAATAATAACATGCAAAAAGCAAACAAATAACTATCATATATTTTTGGCTTTCTAACTATGAAACAAGAGACTGAAAATTCAGCTAAGCTCATCAATGTGACTCCAGTGAGAATAAATTTGAGATTTGATGATGAAACAAACAATGCCCTGTGTATAAAACAATGTAATATAATACCTCATTTGATAGATTAAAGCTCTGGCTTTATATTGGTTATAAATAATACTTATATTAATTAAATTCAGTGAAAATTATTGGCAATTTTTTTAAAGATGGGATATGACAGGTGTGTGTGGCAAGTGGATCTAATTTTGTAGTTTATGGTTCCTTAGACAAATAAGATTGAAGACTATAAAACCTATGCTTAGCTTGAGTAATACCTATGTTTTAATGAATAATTTACTTTAAATTCTGTATTTCTTGGAGGGGTGTTAAGTAAATTAGAGAAGAAGCAAGGCCTAGAGAACAAACGTTGCAATTCTCACAATAGGGAATATTGAGGATTTTTTAAGAAATTTCTTTGTAAAATTAAGAACTTAAAACGTATATTAAAATTTAATCTATTAACAATGTTTTGATGTCAAGTTTATTCATATACAGTGATAATAAGGTAGTTTAATGAAATTTTGAATGTACCTTTGTAAAAAGTTGTGATGTCTACACTTTGACCTCCCCATTGCAAGAGTGTTAATATTCTATTGAAAAAAAAAGAAGTGGTGTTACATTAAAATAATGCTCTAAATATTTCTTAGACCTGTGAATGAAAGTATAGTTATAAGTTTCATTTTACAGAAGCAAATTCAGCGATTGAAGGTACAACATGTATAAATCTTTAATGTCATTTTCTGGGAGTTTGGTGAGGCATAATTCACAGTATCTCTTCATTTGTTTCTCTGACTGAGGCTCATAAGGTTCCTAACCCTAGAACTTTTCTATGTGTTGTATTCTCTTTAAGGTCAATTGAAACTGTTGTTACACAAATCATTAATTAATTATTATAGTGATGTAAGGACTTATAGAACCAAACTAGAACTGGTAACCTCTGATAATAATAATAAAATAGGAAGGCCTTCATTAATTCATTTTTATGACTGTGTGATTTTTTTTCCTAAATATTCCAGGCCATTTTGAAAGTGATATATTTTTAAATTCTATACCACTTGTTATCTTGGAATGGGAATGGCATAGTGATTAGTGTGATGAACTGTGAACTCAAGGGTCCATGGTTTGTATTATTTTGCCACAAAATTGATCTCTGCCCTTTGGGGCTGTAGGTGCATTATTCTTATAATGCGTCAAATCTGACTCTTCAATAAGAGTAGTCCAAGAGTTGTTGATGGGTGCTATCTGAAATAAAACAATTTTTTTTTCATTTAAAGTATAACTCCATAGTGATCCTTCTTTGTCTAAATCACATTTAAAGAACAATAAATTCCTTTTGGTTGGTTTTATAGGTTTTTTAATATGATTTACTTATTCTATTCTACTTGTATCTTTACTATCATAAACATCACCTTCCATGTTATAAAATGATCCAGTTTTACATTATCTTCTATATTTACATAAAGTATCTCTTTACAGGGTGTTCTCTGTCACTTTAAACAAAATGTATAATAAAGGAAACATTTCATAAAACTTCATAGTCATATTTTAGGTAATTAATATGCAGAAGAAAATTATCAGATATGGAAAAGGCTTGAAAACATTAAACTTACAAATTGAACCATCTTATGTAGTGTGTGTAAATATATACAATATGAAATTGTATTAATTATTTTCAGAATTCAATTAAAAGAAGGCTGTGTTATCAGCTTAATCAACTTCTGTGGAGAACCCTTCCTGACTTTAGAAGATATAGCATATTTAATGTCTTGGAAGTTAAGCCTGTTACAAACTATGGTAAGATTTTCAGGACAAAAAGAAAAGGAATATTTTGTTTTTTTTTATGAAGATATTTGAATTCAATATCAGGAATAATGAGTTTTTTTTAAAGGTTGTATGTAATATAAATTATTGTTGTATTCTCAGTTGTGAATACTGACTTAAGACAATCAAGATTTGTTTGTTTTTTACTGGCATTGTCACGAATGAGACAAACCTTCAGAAGAATAGACATGATATTATTGAAATATCACATAAAATTGTTACCACTAAACTGTTGGCAGTACTCTTTTATGGGTGTAAACAGTATTTCATTAGTTGCTTTGGTTAATCAAATAGTAATGTCTTTTTGAGGACAAAGATTGTTATATAAAATTGTTAATACTCAATTGACAGTTCTTACTAATTGTTATAATAGGATTTTTTCAGCTGTGTCAGTTGAACAATTAAAATATTTTATAGCTTAAAAACAGTACAAACAATTGTTACCACCCAGTTGATGGTGCTTAACTCTCTCAACATGGGCTCGGTCAATTTGACTGACCACATGACCTCTTTTTACTCATTCAAAGTCTGTATAGATTTGATACTGCTAACTTTTAATGTAGTGTGTATATATCTTAACAAAATTTGGAAGTCTTTCAATAAACATTATAAGTCTTTCACATACAAAAAAATCATATTTTTTAGTGAAGTATTTTTAATAAACTAAAAAAAAGATTTGTCCATGTATATATCAAGTATTTGTTTTGAATAGTCTGTTTGAAAGTGATTTTCGTATTAAGATTAAAATTACTTTTCTTCATCTCAAAAATTTCAATACAATTCTTATTACAATTCAATGTTTGTTTTCAGTAAAACTTTATATATTATCTGTTATCTTCTATACCCTAACTCTTATACAATGTTGGTCAATATGACCGACCTCATAACCACCAAAAAAAAAATCGAAATAAGTCTAAATTATCCTCTTTTCTTTTTAGAATGACTTCAAATGTAACATGGAACTACATTCATTTATCCTAAGTAGCTTTAAAATTGTAACAGTATACATCTATTTATAATTAAATTTCATTGTTTTCTGCCCATTTTGATTGCTCTTTGAACTGTGTCTAACTACTATTTGTGCCTTTATAAGTCGTAAATCACTTGGGGAACATGTAGCTCACATTACACTATCAATTCACATTACCCACAAGCTACTCCGAGCTGCTTGCATGTGTACCTTGAGAAATATTTTTATTACATTTTTATTTATTTTACCTAATATAATCTAAGATTTGTTATAAACTTTTCTTTTCTCACATTATTTCAAATGTTAATTTTTTACTTTAACTTTCATTTTATCAGTTTATTAATTTTTCACCACTTAACTAACCTTTGCAGCATTTGTGGGAAATGAGAGTTGGTTTTCAAGCTCTATCCAAGAAGCTTCGTAATATTGAACAAATTTTATTTTATCTAATAAGCTGTGAGTAATGAACATTGTAATACAATTTATGTGGAATATTCATATTTGGAAATGAAAAGCTACTAATTTGACCTAATCAAATCTTAACTAACCTAAAGAGATCCCTATTTTTACATTTTAATGACTTTTATGATAATAGATAAAAAATAAACTACGTACCTGTGTCTTCTTTTTTTTTCTTTTGCTGTCGAATATCGATGACACTTAACCCTACTTTTTTATACTAACGGTAGTAATGCACAAACTAATTTTTATTTAATTAAATAATGCACCAAAGAACATAGAATAATAATATGCAAAAAGCAGACAATTTCTTCTAACTATCACAATTTTTTTTGGCTTTCTAACTATGCAACAAGAGCTTTTACAAATTCATCCAAGCTAGTTATCTTTCCCATGGGAACGAAGCTTGTACTAAAAGAGAAATTGACAATTCTCTGTTCAGAACACAACGTAATATAATACTTCATTTGATAGATGAAAACCTTGGCTCTCTGTTGGTTATAGATAATTTAGAATTAAACGTAAGAGAGATCTATTAACAAATCCTGAAAGAGAGGATGTGACAGGTAGATGCGACAAGAAGGATCTAATTTTCTATTTGATAGCTCTGTAACCAAACAAAATTGAAGACTATAAAAATTAT